TACCTATGCAACCTATCAGTGACAGGTAATAGAACATCCATTTGTACAAAGGTACTTTCATGGGAAGGTTTAGAAGGGTATAGGAATTTAAACAGAACTAACGTTTTATAGCAACTATGCAACCTATAAGTGACAGGTGATAGAATATCCATTCACTAAAGAGCTGCTTTGTTTTTCTACACAACAGCGTGACATTATTACCATAAGGATTCTGGTATTTAGGTGTAATGTTATGAGCAAAGGTAATTTTTTAAAGTGGACCTTTCCCCTCATAAACTAAAATCCACAGGTGCATGCGACTGCATACTAACCTGTAATCACATTACATCCCTATGTAAAATAAAAGCTTTCTTTCTGAAAGTACCTGTTTTTTTAGACACTGATGATATAACCAGTGCCTTCCAGCTGCCCCCTGTGAAAGCTATGCTACCCGTACTTTCCAAAGAGATCTCGCAGTAAGCTGTGAGATCTCGCAAGATCTTGGGCAAAGGCTCACAGGATAGGAGATCTTTGGGGAGAAGTGATATATGGTGCAGACATCATTGGCAGGCCGGCACAGAAAACAAGAAAATAGAAGGTCACTGATTAAGTTTTTTTTTTTTTTATGGCGTGTAATTCGGAGGGCAGACAGGATGGAAGAAAGGCAATGAAAGCAGCATGTTACTAAATGTTATTCTTTCCCTGAATACATTGAATTAACATTGGTAGTTTTTTTTAGGATGGGGGTAAGGAGGTACGCTTTATTATCATAACACAGTAAATAGCAGCATAAAAGATGTAAGAAAGCGTGTGGGAAAAAATGGTTAGCAAATATATTTGTCTTTCCCTGGCTTCTGTGCTGCAGGGGGTGACGTCACCATTCTTCCGATGAGATCCCAGGGAACGCTGACTTCCCGAAATCTGGCGCCCCAGCACAGTGCAGGTACATCTTCTCATGGTGACACCCACATCTAGGTGTCACAGGTGAAAGTCAGGGTAAGGTAAGTATATGCAATAACTTTTTCCTTATAGTTTTTTTGTTTACAATGGAGGAGGGGGCCCTAATATATTAAGCGAAGCTTGCTTTTTACTGCAAGGTCTGCTTTAAAAATTAAGAACTCTTTACTAAATAAGGCCAAAGATTACAAAATGACGTAAAAGAAAGATCCACTTTTGTTAAAAAATAATATAGCATAGAAAAAAGCTGCACAAGCCATTTTGTAATTTAATGCGGTAATGTTTCACCACAAGCTGAAGTGGCTGTAATTTTCGAAAACTTCATAAAATTCAACGCAATATGGCAACCTGGGGGCCTTCTTTACACCATTGGTGTACAAAGCGCCTCAAGAAATGTAATTGCCTGCTTGTGTGATTGGTTCACAGATTTTCTTGGAAGTCTGAACTAAGGTAAGAAGTAACATTTTTGGCATCCCTTGCAAAAGGAAATTCCTGTTTTGATGAGATACTCCCAAAGAGTTACCTACTACTAAAGGGATACCGACACTGTAACTCTCCTAATTAGAACACCAAGTGGTAATAATGAACCAGACCCTTCCATTCAGGAATCAAACACAGTGAAACAGTTATTTCTTCAGAACAGAAAAGGGTAGAATCTATATTAAAGTTTGATAAAATCCTTGCAGTGTACATTGATCACCTAAAACTGATTTTATTTTTTTTCCCCACCAAAGCGGGATTTCTCTTTTAGCAGTAATTTTACATGTTTCATCAATTTTTAGTGGAGATTTTCATTAAAGCGTAGTCCTGTATTGTATGTGAGGAGTGGATGAGAGCTCTGACAGCTGAGGAAGAAAAGAATAAAATTAGTATTTATTTTTATTCCTTACATCTTAGACAAAACAGATTTAACTCTTGCTATGAAGGTGTGTGTGTGAGTGTGTGGGGCCTACTAATTTATTTTTAATTTCTGACTGGAGTTTAGCTTTAGCTTTAAGATAATTAATTTTTGTACTTGTGATATTTGCTGCAAAATAAATAAAAACCTCTTCTACAGGAGAAAATATTAACTTCATAGTACAATATCAAATTAGCTAGGATTATTTTATACTTACAGAGTGAGCCCATACATGTGAAGGAAGTAAACCTAGATTCACCAGGTCAAAGTAAAATACTCCAGGAGACGAATTGGTTTTTATACGTCTACCAGCCAATAGACTTCTACAGGGTTGGTAGAGGGAACTGCACACTTGCTGGCCTTGAGTGAAGAAGCCCACTGAGAAGTGTAAACAATTCCATGGGCCTTGGCAGTGAAAGCTAAGTAAGTATAGAGATTTGTGGGTGGGGTAAAAGTTTCCTTAGGCCCCTTTTAGATGGGCGGTCTGATCAGGTCAACCTGTCAGTTTTTTGGGGCGGATCTGATCGGAAGCCCAATGTTAGTCTACAGGCAGCCTAAATGGCCATGTATCCGTTTACATCCGATTACCCCGACTCCGGTGATGATCCGGTGTCACCTTCCTAAAGGCAACATAATGACAATATAACATGTAGGTAAGTAACTATATATCGTATACATGTGTGTATACTGTATATATTTGCTTACCTACATTTTATACATGTTATAGTTTATTATGATGAGTAAGGGACCCTGCATGACCCTGAAATGTGGGCTTACTTGATGCATTACCAATTAAAGAGCGTAGTTTTGCATATGAGTACTGAATGCTAGTGACTTCTGCTTTGTTCTTCAAGTAAGACAATGACTTTTGTATTAAGGTAATACTTGTTTAGTCTTTTGTTTCATTTTTAAGATATAACTAGCTTCTGCCTAGAGGTAATTGTAAGGTTCTAACAGGTGTCTATCGAGGAAATAAGGAAAAGAAAACATTGGAAGAAGAGGTAAAATAATAAATCAAGATAAAATGCAGATTGATGAGAGATACAGTCATTTAGTAAGTTAAAGTAAAACTAAACTCAGGAGTTAAATCTTAAAAATGCATGGTCCCCATGGTCCCTGTATGTGTTGTAGCAACCTCTCCAAGCTCACTCCCGTGATAGTAGACTAATAACTTCAATACAAATGAGTAAACTAAATGTGAGAAATTATAGCCCATCACAGGAGTGAGCTTGGAGCGATGGCTACTTTACAACACACACAAGGACCATGGGGAACAAAAGTAGTCACCCTCCAGAAGGAAGGACAGTGTCAGCACCAATTCAGAGATGATAAAGCCAAGTGATACACAAATAAGATACATTTTCGTTAATATTTAAGGTACTTAAATGTATTTCTAAGATTTAACTCCTGGTTTAGTGTCACTTTAATGTATCTAAAAAACTAAATATTTTGTTTAGTTTTGGATTAGAACCTGCTAGAAATACTTGAATGACACTTATGTTTTAAGCGTCTTAAGGTGATTATATAATCTTCATTAAAAAAGTGTCCAGTTAAATGAAAAACGTATGACTTTAACTACCTCCCGGCCGACCGTTGTGTATACACGGCCAGCCGGGAGCTTCTTGGATGTAACTGGGCGTCTATACACGTCCTGTTACTCCCGCCCACTCGGGCGCGCGCGAGTGCGAGATGCCCGTTATTTGAAAACAGGCAGCGATGCCCGTTAATATACAAGCAATAAGCTGGCTATAGAGCCGGCGGATCGCTTGTATGAGGTCCCGTGATGTGCGCCCCCCCCTCCGCGGCACCCCCCCTACCGCTGTCAAGCTAGGCTCCGCTGTGCCCGGTGCGAGTCCGGGACCAGCATACTGCCTCTGTCACAGGGGATCAGAGGGAGGTCGGTTCACAATCTCCTTCCGGTCCCCTCTCCGCTGTCAGAATGCGGAAGTGGTGTATATTACATCACTTCCGCATTCTCGTGTCACTCTCCAGCTTAAGATGCTGGAGAGAAGCTGATGAAGCAGATCTCTGCTTCATCAGCTTCTTCAGGGGGGTCCTAGGTGACATTAGGGGTCTTGGAGACCCCTCATGTCTCCATAAAGAGGACCTGTCACCTCTTTTGCTATCACATATAGGGGTTTCTTAGCCCCCTCTGTTATAGCAATAAAGTTAAGTGAAAAAAAAATAGGAAAAACATTTTAAGTTTCCCCCAAAAAATTTTTTTAAGTTACACATAAAAAAGAATGTTAAAAAAACAACATTTTTTTAAAAAGTCCCCACCCCTACATACACGCATGTAAACATGCGTCAGGTGCGCATACCTGCGAAAACGATTGCGCCCATTACGCTGCACATGTTACATATCGCCACGAACGTCGCAGTGAGAGCAATAATTTTAGGGTCATCAACCACTGATAACACTAAACTGATGAGCTGTAAAAGCTTTTAAAGTGTCGCCTATGGCCAATTTTGGGTATGGTATTTTTTTGCCATTTCGCGAGTGCGCACAATTTTTAAGCTTGACATGTTTGGTGTCTATTTACCTGACGTGACCCCGTCTTTTATATCTTACTAAAAAAGTGGGTAATATTAGTTGTTTTATAACATAATGTTAAAAAAAACGTTTTTTTCCCAAATATTCAGTCAGTTCTCCTGAATATAGTAAAAAATAAAAACCCCAGTGGTGATTAAATACCACCATAAGAAAGCTCTATCTGTCCCCAAAAAAATGGTATAAAATTCATTTCAGTACAGCGTTGCATGATGGAATAAATGTCAGTCAAAGTACCGCAGCGCTGAATACTGAAAAATGGCCTGGAAGGGGGTCTAAACACCTGTTCTACAAGCGGTTAATTATATAGCGTAAAAGCAATAGAATACAATGATATAGCAAAAATTAATAAATAGACAATTTAAAATATAGTTCAAAGTTAATGCAGAGTTAGTGATCCCTGAATATCACCTCGTGTGAAGTCTTTAGAAGTTTTTCTAGCTTGTGAGGATTCTAGACGTAAATAGTCTTCAACAGGTGTAATAGCAAAGTCTTCTGTGTGGGTGTGTTTTTCTCAGTGGAAGCTGTCTGAGTGTAGCGCCGATGTAATGCGTCCTTCCTTAAAGGTTTTCCCCTCCTTATATTCATATTCTGACTTTAAAATAACTACTGGCTAATCTTATAAGGTCATATACTTTGAAGGTCTATTCTCACTACACATTGATGTAATGATGTTCTATACTCTCAATATGGCTTGACCAAACTACTAAGTCATGTAAATTTCTAAATGTCATACTTCAACCTAATGTACTCTCATGTTCTGACATTGTTCTCAGATTTCAAGGACAAAGCAAAAGCATGTCTGTCTATTCCAAAGTTCCATTCATACAATCATGAGGTCATATAAGTTGAATATATGGGCCCATTCTTTTATTTCTCTTAAGCCAAATAATATTTGAATCTAAGTATTTTTCAGAACCCCTGTCAGTTTTTGTTTTTTTTATTACTAGGTGACAAGCACCCTCTCTGCTTGTCTTGATGGCCATTGTCACCTAGACTAAACGTGAGAGAATATCCAAAATTGTGAACTGTTATCAGCACAATATGGTGGGGGACAACTGAGAGCCTTTACTTTGGAGAGATTTCCACTTACTTCTTTTTGTGTCTACAAGACTGGAAGTGAAAGCAAATTCCCCCAATGGGACAGATGGTAAGGAAATCTGACAGGGGTTTTAACCATTTGCGTCTCTATCCAAAAAGAATTTGGACTTTAAATAACCACTGTACTTAAAAACCCATTTCATGTGAAAAAATATTGCTTGCACACCTATGGAATAGTTATGTTTTCATGAAAAAACTATCCGGAACTAAAATAAAGACTGTAGTCCAAAAAACGAATGCATCTCTGTGAACTAACCCATTTGACATGAGGACATCTTGGTTAAAATGTTTTAATACTTTTTTTCTCTTCTAAATGACTGCTGCAGAGGGTATGGACTATTAAAGGTGATTATATAATCTTCATTAAAAAAGTGTCCAGTTAAATGAAAAACGTATGACTTTAACTACCTCCCGGCCGACCGTTGTGTATACACGGCCAGCCGGGAGCTTCTTGGATGTAACTGGGCGTCTATACACGTCCTGTTACTCCCGCCCACTCGGGCGCGCGCGAGTGCGAGATGCCCGTTATTTGAAAACAGGCAGCGATGCCCGTTAATATACAAGCAATAAGCTGGCTATAGAGCCGGCGGATCGCTTGTATGAGGTCCCGTGATGTGCGCCCCCCCCTCCGCGGCACCCCCCCTACCGCTGTCAAGCTAGGCTCCGCTGTGCCCGGTGCGAGTCCGGGACCAGCATACTGCCTCTGTCACAGGGGATCAGAGGGAGGTCGGTTCACAATCTCCTTCCGGTCCCCTCTCCGCTGTCAGAATGCGGAAGTGGTGTATATTACATCACTTCCGCATTCTCGTGTCACTCTCCAGCTTAAGATGCTGGAGAGAAGCTGATGAAGCAGATCTCTGCTTCATCAGCTTCTTCAGGGGGGTCCTAGGTGACATTAGGGGTCTTGGAGACCCCTCATGTCTCCATAAAGAGGACCTGTCACCTCTTTTGCTATCACATATAGGGGTTTCTTAGCCCCCTCTGTTATAGCAATAAAGTTAAGTGAAAAAAAAATAGGAAAAACATTTTAAGTTTCCCCCAAAAAATTTTTTTAAGTTACACATAAAAAAGAATGTTAAAAAAACAACATTTTTTTAAAAAGTCCCCACCCCTACATACACGCATGTAAACATGCGTCAGGTGCGCATACCTGCGAAAACGATTGCGCCCATTACGCTGCACATGTTACATATCGCCACGAACGTCGCAGTGAGAGCAATAATTTTAGGGTCATCAACCACTGATAACACTAAACTGATGAGCTGTAAAAGCTTTTAAAGTGTCGCCTATGGCCAATTTTGGGTATGGTATTTTTTTGCCATTTCGCGAGTGCGCACAATTTTTAAGCTTGACATGTTTGGTGTCTATTTACCTGACGTGACCCCGTCTTTTATATCTTACTAAAAAAGTGGGTAATATTAGTTGTTTTATAACATAATGTTAAAAAAAACGTTTTTTTCCCAAATATTCAGTCAGTTCTCCTGAATATAGTAAAAAATAAAAACCCCAGTGGTGATTAAATACCACCATAAGAAAGCTCTATCTGTCCCCAAAAAAATGGTATAAAATTCATTTCAGTACAGCGTTGCATGATGGAATAAATGTCAGTCAAAGTACCGCAGCGCTGAATACTGAAAAATGGCCTGGAAGGGGGTCTAAACACCTGTTCTACAAGCGGTTAATTATATAGCGTAAAAGCAATAGAATACAATGATATAGCAAAAATTAATAAATAGACAATTTAAAATATAGTTCAAAGTTAATGCAGAGTTAGTGATCCCTGAATATCACCTCGTGTGAAGTCTTTAGAAGTTTTTCTAGCTTGTGAGGATTCTAGACGTAAATAGTCTTCAACAGGTGTAATAGCAAAGTCTTCTGTGTGGGTGTGTTTTTCTCAGTGGAAGCTGTCTGAGTGTAGCGCCGATGTAATGCGTCCTTCCTTAAAGGTTTTCCCCTCCTTATATTCATATTCTGACTTTAAAATAACTACTGGCTAATCTTATAAGGTCATATACTTTGAAGGTCTATTCTCACTACACATTGATGTAATGATGTTCTATACTCTCAATATGGCTTGACCAAACTACTAAGTCATGTAAATTTCTAAATGTCATACTTCAACCTAATGTACTCTCATGTTCTGACATTGTTCTCAGATTTCAAGGACAAAGCAAAAGCATGTCTGTCTATTCCAAAGTTCCATTCATACAATCATGAGGTCATATAAGTTGAATATATGGGCCCATTCTTTTATTTCTCTTAAGCCAAATAATATTTGAATCTAAGTATTTTTCAGAACCCCTGTCAGTTTTTGTTTTTTTTATTACTAGGTGACAAGCACCCTCTCTGCTTGTCTTGATGGCCATTGTCACCTAGACTAAACGTGAGAGAATATCCAAAATTGTGAACTGTTATCAGCACAATATGGTGGGGGACAACTGAGAGCCTTTACTTTGGAGAGATTTCCACTTACTTCTTTTTGTGTCTACAAGACTGGAAGTGAAAGCAAATTCCCCCAATGGGACAGATGGTAAGGAAATCTGACAGGGGTTTTAACCATTTGCGTCTCTATCCAAAAAGAATTTGGACTTTAAATAACCACTGTACTTAAAAACCCATTTCATGTGAAAAAATATTGCTTGCACACCTATGGAATAGTTATGTTTTCATGAAAAAACTATCCGGAACTAAAATAAAGACTGTAGTCCAAAAAACGAATGCATCTCTGTGAACTAACCCATTTGACATGAGGACATCTTGGTTAAAATGTTTTAATACTTTTTTTCTCTTCTAAATGACTGCTGCAGAGGGTATGGACTATTACTTGATAGATCACTCCTAAAATAAGACTTATGCAGTAATATATGATACTGTACATATTACCCACTATTTTGGCTAGCATGTATGACATTGCTTTTGATTATTATTTTTTTAGCAAACAAAAATTTCAGTATTTTGTCCATATGGAAATATACAGATTAAACATGTAGCAAGGTACCAATCAGATTGCTATTAAAAATATAATCCAGCCACATAAACATTTTAAAAATATATAACAAAATACTCTAAAATGACTGTATAAATGGTTTTTCACCATGGGAAGTTTAATAAATATGTGTATCTAGAGAGAAGATGCCTGAGGTCCAGAAGGAGATTCAATATCATTTACAATTTAAAAAAGTATGATTGTGGGAAGCCTGTTTGAGTATGGAGAGCAAAAGTGAATATTTTATGTGTTAGACAGACGATATGCCATAGGGTAGCCACAAAGACTAGCAAATATGCACAAGGGAAAGCAACAGGGTTATAGGCATTCCTCAGATCCTGGCAAACTATGCAAAGACAGACATAGCTTAAGGAAGCTGCTGGAGGGGAAAGTCTATTATAATTTAAAGACGTGCTGGTTTCATGACACTAAGCCCTTGAATAAAAAAAAAAGAGAGAGTACCGACCATCCTACTGGGACTATGCCTTTCTATTTGTTACAATATATTTATGCACTGCTGTGTTTTCTGGTTCATATTACAGCTGTAATATCAACTGTACCTATTCAGCATTACAAACTGTGCAATATATCTATAGCCCTGAAAAAGTGTTCTTGTCTGCACATTTGGAGTTCTTGGCAACAAGGGTGCCCTTTATTTATGCATTTGGTTTAATAAATAAGCCCAAATGTGGGGTGGAAACGAATAATGTAACGTTAAGAATCTAAACAGCCGAGTCCAGTAGCCAACGGGCACTTGTAGGAAACCGGGGATCGTGCCTTCCTATTGGTAAGAACAGGGACAATGATAGACACACCAGCTAAAATCTTTAGGCTCACTGGCTACATGACTCCTAGCACATGTCCATTCCTGCCCTAAAATGTTTTGTTAAAGTTAACATGTCACAAACCCATGCAATTCAAACCATATGATGAAAAAAGTAATACACTAAGCTCCAGAAGTACAAGAAAAGCCAAGATTGCATTTAAATTGAGCTTCCTATAGCTCTGGATTAGGGATGAGTTCCTGGTTCAACATTTTGAACCAATTTTGGCATTGGTTTACGTCCTCCTGGCATCCCATGCCTTTTGTTTGGCAATAGCTTGCTTATTAAAGGAGAACTATGGGGTTAAGTCTTTTCCCCATAGTTCTCCTTAGGGTAACGGGAGGACACAAACTAGCGTCCTCCCGTCACCCTAAGCTCAGTATACCGCGAGCTGTAGCTCGCGAAGTTTCAAAAAGCTGTTTGAGTCCAGGCAGATTTGCTTATTTTTTTAACTCTGGATCTACTCATCATTTTGATCTGCAAATTTCACTGAAGGGGACGTCTGCTAATACATTTCTCCTCATCTGTTCTGAATTGTGGTGGTTTTGTGACAGTATTCAGAAATGTTCTTGCAGTTACAGGAAATTGGTTAATTCTTCCAATATTCACATTTAAAGGGTTTATGTTTCTCTGGGGCTTCACTATACTTGAATTTCATGGTCCGCCCACCTGTCACAACCATTAAAAGGAAGGGAGGTGGTCACTTTACCGGTTGGAATTCTCATCTATGTTGCATGACAATGAAACTGGAAGAGTGAAACTTCATAGGGGTCAAAACCAGTAAATAGCATAAGAAGATCTAGTCTCTGAGAGATGTGCAATATGCAGCCAGAGAATGTTTGACACCCATATATATTGTGTGATTTTGGAATTTGATCAGGAAAGACATATTCACCCATTCAATTATTGGTATCAACAAAGTGCAATGTTTTGTGTTAAGGTAAATGTCTACTTGGCCGGTGGGTGGAATTCTCTCAGGTAATAGAAAAGATGTGTGTTTGGTATTAAATTGGAGCAAATCGGTGAGTGGGAGTTCAACACAGATAGGCTGATGTTATTGCTCGCCATGCAGACAAGGTTATTGCTGTGTGGGATGGCACAGTGCATGTGTAGGAGACACATAAATTATAAATGAGTGTGTGTGTAGCCTGTGTTTGTCACTAGAAGCAAAACAATGTCAACAGCAACTCAGTGTCAGTTAAGCGATTTTAAGAAAAACGCCACTATTGGTAAAATGTGATACAGCGTGTATTATTACTACACAGAGCATTTTGTAATTTTATGTTATTAAAAATCACCCCTTTATGTTGTTCTGCAACCAACTATGAATCTCCATGTCTGGCAAACATTCAAGAGTTTAAAAAGAGCCATGAAAACCAAGGTGACCCCAGAGGCATTATTAACATGCCCTGCTTGTGTCACTGGCTCACTGCTTTCCCAGAATTCTGAACAGAGCTTGAAGTAATATTGTATGTGTTGTAAGGTTTCCTGTAGTGCCCTAGTGCCCAAACTGTGGTCCTTTGGGACTTACTGTGTGGCCCTCAGGCCCCCTAATCTGACTTTCTCCTACAGCATATCCCCAATCTACAACCACACCTGCAATATGATATGATCATCTTCTAAAGCAGTGGTTCTCAACCTGTGTAACCTCAGGACCCACATTGGACCTTGGTCATTAGGTTGAGACCCAAGTTACACTGCAATGGAACTCACGGCATTGCAGTACTGTGCTTTCCAGTGCGGACAATTGAACTGTGGGCTGGAGGTGCGTTTGGGGTGCCATTCAAATGAATGGCGAGGCAACGCACCTCCCACACCAGAATGCGTAGTAGGTGACATTAAACTCAGAAGTTAAACTTTAAAAATGCATTCAGGTACCTTATCTATTAACAACATTTACAGTACCTTATTAGTGCATCACTCTGCTGCAGATCCTCAAATCATCTCTGAATTAATGCTGGCACTGCCCTTCCTTCTGGGTGGTGGTTACTTTTGTTCCCCATGGTCCCTGTGTGTGCTGTAAAGTAGCGAACACTCCAAGCTCACTCCTGTGATGGACTACAATCTCACATTTAGTATCCAAATTTGTATTGAGATTGTAGTCCATCACAGGAGCAAGCTTGCAGCGATGGCTACTTTACAACACACACAGGAATCATAGGGAACAAAAGTAGCCACCCTCCAGAAGGAAGGACAGTGTCAGCACCAATTCAGAGATGATATGAGGATCTACAGCCGAGTGATACACAAATAAGATACATTTTTGTTAATAGTTGAGGTACTTGAATGCATTTTTAAGGTTCAACTTCTGAGTTTACCGTCACTTTAAGCCTGCCTTGTGATTCATGCACATCGACCATATTGCATAGCCAGGAAGATGATAGCACTGTTTCATGGGTCACCTCTATGGCTTCTGGTGCCACATTTCTGACTGATTGAATTGCTGACTTACTGTTAATAGAGATATATTACATTGCAAGCTCCTTCAAGTGCAGGAACTGAAGTGAATGGTTTATATGATCTGTAGAATGTGCTGAATCTTGGTCCTCCCTTGATTGTAAAAATACCAATTAACATTTTTCACATTAACTTGTGATTGTAAAAGTTATTGTATTTTTATATAGGTTTTGTAAGTACTAATCAAATAAGATTAAAAAGAAAACATATACTAAAAGAAAGGTTTATGCTGTCAGTGGGGGCTTTCGTAAAATGCTAGTTACCTTGCCAGCTATTGCTCCATCAATTTCTGACCTGGAACAAGCAAACTGCAAGTGAAATTAAGGCAACGTCACAACCCCTTACCTCCAACACGTATTACTATTATAGGTATAAGTGTTGTACCTATTAGATCAGCAGACTGCCCAGACAATTAGCATTTTCATGAGAAGTCAGCAACAGTATCATATGTATTTCTATGAATATTTTTCTTTAAAAAGACCAGACTCCACCAGAGAAAAAAATTGTTCCTTAAAAAAAATTTCTGTGGCTGCTATAGGAAATTAAAGATCAAAGGAATTTCCAGGGAGCAATAATGTTTCAATTAATAATAAAGCTGCCCCTCAGGCTGCCCTCCACTTCCACCCCTACCCACTGATCACTTGCATAAGTAACAAAAACCAAATGCTCCTTCACGCACCTAAATCCATGGTCACATGGTGTCCCGAGTCTTCTCCCTCCTTATGAGAACAGAAGGTGGGGTCTTTCTTCCGGTGTCCGCGTAATTGCCTGCATGTTAGTGACACTTATTACTGACTGTCTAGTGGCAGGGTCCTCTATGGATCAACAAGGGCTAGCCAGCATGGGTACTACTGCAAGTTTGACCATTAGTCCACAGCACCCATTAAGGGCACCAGGGAGGGACGTGGACCTAGGTGAGTCGGAAGGTTAAAAAAAGTGAGTGGGAGGGAAAGGTGGTAGGGGGTTTAAATTTCACCCAGAGATAGGATTTAACATTTGCCTTCACCAGGGACAGTTGTTATTTATGAAGTGAAGTACAGCTAGAAAAATTAGCACATGTAATACCCAGTAGGGTGTGAATGCAGAGTGTGTCATCAGATAACTAGTAATGTAAATATCTGACAGGTTTGTTGGAGGTCTGGATTGGTGCTTGTCAGAACATAGTAACATAGTAGGTAAGGTTGAATAAAGACACAGGGCAATTTAGTTCAACCTATCTATATGTGTGTATGTATGTATTTATGTATGTACATACATAGAACAGCTACGTATTCTTCCTCCTATAGTTTTACCATAATTCGGACCTTCTATATCTTCTTTAAATTGTTGATCTCATCTGCTTTTTCACCTCTGATCCCTCTAATGTATTGAAATATTTGTGATGTAAAGGCAGTAATGGCTAAATGATTTTACTGCAGTGCTCCCCAGGGCACATCAGCACCTCCACAAAGTCTACTGTCAGCACAGCCATGACAACATCATTTGTTGCAGCTGACACCACTGCTGTAGAGAGAGGTAGCCAGGAGATGAAAACACTCTACATTTATAAACATGTATTCATTGGGTGCACAGTGTGCATCAGTTGTAAATAACAAAGCAGATTTTCATGTTTCATTACTCATCAGAAAGATTTGTGACCATTTCATTTTGGTGACTGGTCTTGACACAATATCCTGCAGTTTAGTGACAATGTACAAACATTAGGTTATTAGATTAACCAACTGCACTGATGTGTAACAAATAGGTTCCGACATATAACAAACATCTCAATTATTATTGTTCCCATGTCTTCATATACCTAAGTGACCTCCAGTCAAAATTGACAATTAAACCTTGAAATGCATTCAGAAAACACCGCCTATCCTCTTAGTATTTCAACTTTTCCTCCAGACATTGCTGTAGTGGACCAGTCTGCCCCTCCCCCGCCCCCTCTGCAAACACCAGTCTACCCCTGTCTTTCCCCCACTGTAGTGTACCAGTCTACCCATCCCTCCACTGTAGTGCACTAGTCTACCCCTCCCACTCCCCAACTGTAATGCACCAGCCTACCCCTCTCTCACAAACTATAGTGCACCAGTTTACCACTCCCTCTTCCCCACTGTACTGCACCAGTCTACCCCTCCCTTTCCCCCACTGTAGTGTATCAGTCTACCCATCGCCCCACTGTAGTGTAACACTCTACCCCTCCCTCTTCCCAATTGCAGTACACCATCTACCCCTCCCTCTCCCCCACTTTAGTGCACCAGTCTACCCCCTTTCCCCCCTGTACTGTACTAATCTACCCCTCCCTCTGCTCTACTGTAGGGCACCAGTCTACCCCTCGTTCTCCCCTAATTTAGTGCATCAGTCTACCCCTCATTTCCCCCCCACTGTATAGCATCCCTCCTTTGACGCTAATCTCCTGCTTGTGATGCAGGAGAGCTGTTCTATACACATACACTACAAACTCAATACTCTAAAACCAAAAGATTTTCAAGTTGCATTGCTCATCAGAAAGATTTGTGACCATTTCATTTTGGTGACTGGTCTTGACACAATATCCTGCAGTTTAGTGACAATGTACAAACATTAGGTTATTAGATTAACCAACTGCACTGATGTGTAACAAATAGGTTGTGACACATAACAACATCTCAATTACTATTATTCCCATGTCTTTTCTCATACCTAAATGACCGCCAGTCAAAATTGAGAATTAAACCTTGAAATGCATTCAGAAAAAAATTGCCTATCCTGTCAGTATTTCAGCTTTTCATCCAGACATTGCTGTAGTGCACCAGTCTACCCCCTCCCCCCCCCCCCTACTATAGTACACCAGTCTACCCCCTCCCCGACTGCAGTGCACCAGTCTCCCCCCTCGCCTCCACTCTAGTCTACCCCCTCGCCTCCACTCTAGTCTACCAGTTTACCACTCCCTCTTCCAAACTGTACTGCACCAGTCTACCCCTGTCTTTCCCCCACTGTAGTGTACCAGTCTACCCATCCCTCCACTGTAGTGCACTAGTCTACCCCTCCCTCTCCCCACTGTAGTGCACCAGTCTACCCCTCTTTCCGCACTGTAGTGCACCAGTCTACCCCTCCTCTCCCCCACTGTAGTGCACCTGTCCACCCCTTCTTCTCAACCACTGTTGTGCACCAGTCTACCCCTCCCTCTTCCCCATTGTAGTTCACCAGTCTACCCCTCCCTCTTCCCTACTATAGCCCACCAGTCTACTCCTCCCTCTCCCTAACTGTAGTATACCAGTCTACCCCTCCCTCTTCCCCATTGTAGTTCACCAGTCAACCCCTCCCCCCACTTTAGTGCAACAGTCTACCGCCCTCTCCCTCACTGTAGTATACCAATCTACCCCTCCCTCTTTTCCCTTCTGTAGTGCACCAGTCTACCCCTCATTCCTCCCACTGTATAGAATCAGTCTCCCTCCCTTTGACGGTAATCTCCTGCTTGTGATGCAGGAGAGCTGTTCCATAAACATACAGTGCAAACTCTAAAACCAAACGCTTGAAGTAAAAAATGCCTGCAATAAGAAATTTCTCAGTTCCACAAACCTGATTCCATCCCGCCTTATAAGTTTGTATGTGACTGCTGGTACAGGAAGAAGCATGAGTAAGGCCCCATGAATTACATTCCCAGTGACACTGTGAAGTGCCTCTTAGATTGCACAGAACACAATAAACAGCAAACTAACTGAAATTTCTGCATTTAGTACAGATGGGCAATGGGCAAGAAAATAGTATACAATATGCAACCAACAAATGGCCAATCCTGACTATACTCAGACAATGACAACAGGAGTGACAGTAACTGAAGCACAGTCTATCTTCCATTCTTCCTCCTACACCTTTCTTTACCTGTCCACCTCTCTTTCTGTCCAGACAGACCAGGAAGTCTCTCCAAGTCTCCAGGAAGCTGCACACAGAAATTCCCATTACCCGATGGTTACACATGTCCTCATTGGCCTAAAAGGATTGCTGGAGAAGAAAAGAGACAACCTACATTTCTTCCTACCCTCTGCTCTTCAGTGCTGGCTGGCTACTACAGCCATTGGCTGACAGGTTTGATGACAATGAAGTATCTACTCTTGTCACCCTAACAGTGGCAAAGTTAGATGGAATGCCTGTTAGCCTGATAATCAGACTGATTAGCCGGGGTGTCCAGGAGAAAGCCGGGGTGATTCAATGAGGACACTTTCTCCAGTGACTACTAACAGTAGCACAGTGGCTTAGTGCTTAGCACATGTTCCTTGCAGCACCGAGGTCCCTGTTTTG